TGTGCTTCTCCAAGCCTGGGGAGAGAGGAGAAGGTTGAATGTGCTGCATGGGTTATGTCAGGAATATCAGGGCCCTGAAGGGAGTCAGATAGCAGTAGAAGTACACCTGGAGGTGCCTTAAAAAGCCCCTTATTACCTTGCCTTGATGCCAATCTGAATGAATCACATGTGCAATGTAAATCAAGAACTTCTCTGCAACTGTTCAAAGAAGTTGCATCACCAGAGTCATGTGTAAAGTAACATGTTTGGGAGGCGGGTTATTTTATTTTGGGTTGACTTTACCAGTCTGTAGAAAGTTGTCTGTACTGTAAACAACAATTTAAAACTATAACTATAGCGGTTGATAGCAGCAGTTAACATGCTCACTGACAACTAAAGACATTTCCATTTGATTTAATTCACTGCCTATTGGGAAAGTAGGTACTTTTCTGGCTCTGACAGAAAGAGGTTTTCCATTCTTAATCCCATCCACAGAGCTCTGATTGGCCTCAGAAGGGTAATTCCACTTTAAGGTTTCGGCTAGGTGACTGGACTGGCATGTGCTTATACCTGTTACAACGTCACATAACTCAAAGAGAAATTGAAAGTTTGTCAGAGCGACAGCAGATTTGAGATAAGACACAACTTCTGCAAAAACTGCATCACTGAAAACTGGAAAATCAATACGCGCCGATACATGTGTCCCATGTGTAAAAAGGTTTTCAAGACAAGACCTGAGCTGCAGGTCAACACCTTCATCTCTGAGATGGTTGTTCAGTTCAGACAGTCAGCTCAACGGAAAACCAGCAGCTCCGAGCAACAAGAGTCCAAACCAGGAGAAGTTCCCTGTGACGTCTGCACTGGACCCAAACTGAAGGCCCTGAAGTCCTGCCTGGTGTGTCTGGCCTCCTACTGTGAGACTCACCTGGAGCCTCATCTGACAATGTCAGGCCTGAAAAGACATCAGCTGATCGACCCTGTGGAGAACCTGGAAGACAGGATGTGTACGAAGCACGATAAACCTCTGGAGCTGTTCTGTAAGACCGACCAGACATTTGTCTGCACGCTCTGCACCGTTTTAGATCATAAGATGCATGAGTTTGTTCCTCTGAAAGAAGAATATGAAGAAAGGAAGGTCGAGCTGGAGGCTGAGATTCAGCAGATGATCCAGGAGAGACAGTTAAAGATTAAGAAGATCAAGCAGTTGGTCATCATCAGCAACAAAAACGCAGACATAGAGAAAGCAGAAGGCTTTCGGGTTTTCACAACTCTGATGGAGTCTGTTGAGAGAGGCCTCTATGAGCTCATTGAGAGAATTGAAGAGAAGCAGAGAACGACACAGAAACAGGCTGACAACTTTATCAAAGAGCTGGAACAGGAAATCTCTGAGCTGAAGAAGAAAAACATGGAGGTGAAGCAGCTCCCACTCTCTGAAGACCACCTCCATCTCCTCCAAAGCTTCCCATCTGTGAAAGCAATTCATTCCACCAAGGACTGGACAAAAGTCGGAGTCTGTCCACGATCATATGATGGGACCGTAGCGAGAGCTGTGGCTCAGCTGAAAGAGACCTTCAGTGAAGTGATGGAGAGGCTGCTTGAAGAAGAGCTAAAATGGGTCCAGCAGTTTGCAGTGGATGTGACTCTTGATCCTGACACAGCTCATCCTTATCTCATCCTGTCTGCTGATGAAAAACAAGTGAATCCTGGTAAAGCAAAGAAAAATCTCCCAGACAACCCAGAGAGATTTTCTCTCAATCCCTGTGTTTTAGGAAAGCAGAGTTTCTCTGCAGGCAGATTCTACTTTGAGGTTCAGGTTAATGGAAAGACTGCGTGGGATTTAGGAGTGGCCAGAGAGTCGATCAACAGGAAGGGAGACATCCCACTGAGTCCTGAGGATGGCTACTGGGCTATATGGTTGAGGAAAAGAACCAAGTACAAAGCTTTGAATGACCCTCCAGTCTCTCTCTTTTTTAAATTGAAACCCAAGACAGTGGGGGTGTTTGTGGATTATGAGGAGGGTCTGGTCTCCTTCTATGACGTAGATGCTGCAGCTCTTATCTACTCCTTCACTGGCTGCTCCTTCAAAGAGAAACTCTACCCATACTTCAATCCAGGTCTAAATGATGATGATAAAAACTCTGCCCCAATGATCATCTCTCGTCATTCACACTGAGGAGACTAATCATTTCAGACTCCAGTCTGACTCGATTCAGGAATTTGATTACTTCAGATTCAATTTGACAAAATCAAAAAAGATTTGTAAATAAACTCTGACTTTAGCAATAGTACTGAAAATTCCACTTGGATTCGAGCGTGACAACTTGCAAGATTTTGATGGTCGCCAGAGGAGAAATTCTCATAATGAGTTTTTATTTTCATAACAGGATAATTCTACAGGCGTCAGAGTGTAAAATTACCTAAGAACAAGCTTATATCTTGTAACTGCTCTAGAGTTTGGGGTTTATGTTGGATACTGATGTGTCTCAACTATTATATATTTATTATTATCTATGACTTGACTGCAAACTAGTGCAACATGTTTAGTCCAATATGTTTAATTAGCTCTCCAGCCCTGCTGGACCCCCTATTGTTACGAATATTAAGCATGTTGTGGTGCCAAACCTAAAAAAAAGTATTTACTGTGTATGTGTAATTATTGTTCAGGGTAAAAATAGTTTTTTTTCTGGTGTAAAAACTATTTAGGGGGAATTCATGAAAAATCTTTTAGATTGCATCTTCTTTTTCTAATTAATCAACCAGCTAACCTAAACTTTTCAAATGGGGCAAGTATTTGTTTAAGTTTGATGTTGCTTATTCAATTTCACCATAAAACATTTGTCTTAGATCGGTATTTGAAGCTTTGGATTATCAATTAGATTACAAAGGAGCCTTAATACTGTGCAGTTAAACTAAAGTGGATATCATAGAGGGATGGGGTGGTTTAGAATTTGTTGTTATATGTACTTAACTTTCTTTGATATCCATAAAGGTTGCTTCTTTGGGTTAGGTCATTGTTTATATATTATTTATATATAATGTGTAAGGAATAAGAAAAGCCCCAAAGCTGAGTTTGTATTTATTTTATCGAGATTTGTAACCATTTATATCTATAATAAAAAAAATTGTACCATATTATTGAGTTTTCATGACTTTGGTTGAAATCTACTCTTCCACAGAACCGGACGCAGCACCCCCACGCAAAAGGCCAAACTCTAGTGTGCCTCCCGATGTCAGAAAGGATGGCATTGATCACTTCCCAACATGGGAAACCAGACAGAGATGCAAGCAATGCACAGCCAATCACTTCTCCCATGTCTACTGTGGGAAATGTAAAGTCCATCTTTGCCTGAACAAGGACAGAAACTGGGGTTTTTTTGCCTCCCACAAGGCGAAATAAAAAGGTTATAAAAAAGTTCCTGTTTGGGAAGAAATAAGAACCAAACCAACTGAAATGTTCCAAATGTTGCAAAAGCAATGAACATCATTTGTTATTGTTTGTAAAATAAACATTGTTGTGATCAATACATTGATAAATATGCCTGATGTATCAAATGTGATACAAAAATAATATCATATATGTAAATAAAATAAAAAAAGAACAGTGGTTCTTAACCCTGGCTCCAGCTCCTTTATCCGGTCAAGGATCTGGAGCCCCTAACCCTAACCGCTCTTTGTATATTAACTGTTTGCCAAACTCACTTACAAGTAATTAGTGGAGGAAAAATTATTCAGATCCTTCACTGCAGTAAAAGTACTAATACCATACTGATGAAACAATCCACGACGAGTAAAAGTCCTGCATTCAAAACCTTAGTCAAAGTACCAAAAGTAGAAGTACCCTTGCAGTAAATAACCCCACGCCCCTAAATTGTTCATTCTGTACACATGACATCTTTTGCACTTCTGTCCATCCTGGGAGAGGGATCCCTCCTCTGTTGCTTTCCCACAGGTCTCTCCCTCTTTTCTCCCCGTTAAAGGGGTTTTTGGGGGAGGTTTTCCTGTTTCGATGCGAGGGTTCTGGGACAGAAGATGTGTACAGCTTGTAAAGCCCTCTGAGATCAATTCGTAATTCGTGATTTTGGGCTATACAAAAATAAATTGAATATAATCAACCCACCAACCATCAAACACACACACACACCAACCAACCATCAAGCACACACACACACACACCAACCATCAAACACACACACACACACCAAACATCAAACACACACACACACACACACACCAACCATCAAACACACACACACACACACACACACACACCAACCATCAAACACACACACACACACACACCAACCATCAAACACATACACACACACACACACACACCAACCATCAAACACACACACACACACACACAAACCATCAAACACATTCAAAAAAAAATTTAAAAAAAAAATTATATCATGCTTGTAAGTCGTTGTTGTTGAAAATTCTAAGTTGTACTACTGTCATGTTTAATATTTTAATGTGTAAAAAATACATTTTATGTATAAATTCAGGGACAATCACTGATGAGTTCTCATTTGCACCCAACAGCCTGAAAAGATACAGTAAGTTGGCTCAACTGATTTGACATGTTGGTCCAAATATCGTGTCTGTAGTCTGGAGTTACATGTTGGTCATCTAAAGAGAATAATTCCATTAAAAACACCTGGACATTACTTTCTGCCACATTTTGCTGGTTTAGTACGAGTCTAAAGTGGCTTGAGAACTTAAGGCAAGAAGGTTCATTTAACGTCACAGCACCTTTCAAACACAGCTGCAATTCAACGTTTTATGGCAAGGAAATGCATTAGAAAGGATAATATATCAAAGTTAGGAAAGCAATGTTTAAGTCAAGCCTGATTTTCCCTTAGCCATAAAATAATGATCTCAGTCACTTCCACACAGTGAGGCATACAGCTTATTAATTTAACACTGGTATCAGCCGATACACGAAACCCAGGTTTCATTATCAGAACTCTTGTGTATTTACAGGAAGACTCCACACTGTAATTTGAGTACTTCTTACTGGACAGTATCAGGACCAAGTGACCACAGGCTGTAATGCTAATGCTGAATTCACACAGACAAGAAAAGTAGCTAACACGTAAGATTTAGTATTTTAGAAACTCAAACTAAAGTGTTTACAGTCTCGGTCTTGGGTGTAAACTAAGCGTGCACAGTTGACAAGAGAGCTGATTTTCCAGCAATGCACACGTTACTGTCTTTAACATCAAGAAAGTGCAGAGGTTGCATTCTTTAACCCGTACTAAAGCTTAAAATAAGGTCCCACCAAGATGTGAACATGGATTACTGGATATGAAGTCCAGAGTGCTAACCATTACATCACCCATTCAAAGAACAACACGTCATTCTTGTTTCTCTCAGCACCCCCAACTCTGACTGACTTCCAGCGTCCTTGCTGACTGACTTACTGAGCTACTCCGTTTGTATGAAATTGTTCAAAAAGACAAATTCTTACAATCCAGAAACAGAGAGGGCTACAGGAGAGCACACACACTCCTGCCATGGCTGCGTTCACACACAAGAACAACAGGTAACACACGGTTCAGTATTTCAACTACTACTGCCTTGGGTGTAGGAGGGAGAACATTTAGGATGTTGCACACCTAAATGCTAACCATTACACCATGAAACCACTAAATGTATCACAATACAACTGATGACCAGGTGACCACAGTTGAACACACTTAGATAATGCTTTGCAAACAGACAAGCTAACTTTACACTGATGACCGGACACTCAAGCCATTGTTCTGAAAGTCTACAGACAATAGCTGTGTGCCAATCCAGCGGCCGCATCCTTCGGAGACTACATTTGTAGACCGATTGCGTCACAGCGGCTCTCCCATTTCGAAGACTCCTTCAAATGCTGCCTTCGTTTCCCAGATTCGGAGGACACAACTGATGGATCCTTCACGGCCCACCATATCCCACAGCCGCTGCACAGTGGTTGAAAATCACTGCTCTAGTCTATTTGAGGCTGGTGGACAGAGGTTATGACTGAACTATACCGTTGCACATCTTTGGTGTTTGGTCTCCAAAAAGTGAAACTAATCTTGGGCCAAGATTAAGTTACTAAAATCATGTCCAGACCTGAGGGAGGCAACAATATGTCAGCAACGAAGCTGCAGTAAGAAGAGGAGAAAAATAAAATGGGAAGGCTTGGGCAGCCTTTTCCTCTAGAATCTAGATATATAAAAACCCACATTAAACTACATCCATCTACATACAATCCTTTCAACTTCTGTTAAGATTTAGGTTAAACGCACACTGGTGTTTAAGATGTGCCACCCCCACCAAAAGAGGCGGGATCATTATGCTGCCTGACAGGAAAGTCTACCAGCAAGTGTTTACTTTCTGTATAAATAGCAGAAAGAGGCAGCGTTCGACTAAACCTCCTCAAATGAAACTGAAAGTTTGTCAGAGCGAAGTAGAGCTGAAGTCGAGATGAGTCTCTTTCTTTCTCTCTGAAGAAAACTTCAAGAGTACCACAGGCCTTTCTCCTCAACATTGCAGGGTCTCTGACAATCACTGGTGAGTACAACTGATATTTACTGTTAAAGTGAAAAAAAAAATCTGTGCCACACATATGAGCTCCCAATATATTTTGAATGTGTCCTTTCATTTAGTAAAGTATGGGAAACACCAAATAATTAGTTATTATTAGTTTTAAGAAATGGATTGGGAGCCCATCAATGTTGGCAACTTTCTTCACTTTTTACTGTTGTCATGTCTTCTGTCAAGCAGCTGAGAGAAACTTTGGGTGTGGTTGTGTCACAAACTGGGCCGAACGGCCATGACAAAAAAGGGAGACGCATTCAATGAAACAGTTGATTAATTATTTATTAAGTTTAAAGTAATATAAAAGACAAACATAAACTAACAGTGAAGTCAGTCATTTCAGTAGTGTAAGTGAGTGGGTGCGTGTAAAGTGTATATGCAGTGTTGTATAGTGTAGAAACAAACCATAACCGCAATCGAAACCAAAATGGGTGTCTCAGGAAAGAGCGAGAGACCAACTGAGAATCCAGAGGGTTTTTATACTGAGTGCTCTGGCACACAGGGCCAGTGTTGCAAATGGTGCTTCCACTCTGCCTGACGACCCTCTGCCACACCCACCTCCACACCTGCAAGGAAGGCAGCCAAACGAACAGGCAGAGAGGGTCGTCACAGTTGTCCTTCCCCTTTTTCATCAACCAGCATTAACTCTAACGTTGCCTTCGACATGAACCTCTTGTGAAGTAAATGGTTCAACTAATGTTGTTTTCTTAAGAGCTTGTTACTGAAAAATACAATTTAATACCATATGTCATTCAGATGCACCAGTGGCTGTGTTCTTGAACACTTCCCTAGATGCAGTTAAGTAAAAAAAAATAAAACTGTTTGCAGTGACTGTATAGCTTTTTTCATCTTGTTGGAGTTGTTGTTTTCCGACGCCAGAACAGCTGCACATCTCTCTTTGTCACTGGAGTTGTAAACTGAGTGTACTTAATCCAGTCAAACCTTTTATTCACAAGTGCCACCTGCTGTTGTGAATGAATAATAACATTTAAATGTCTAGTACTTGAATTCAAGAAGAGCACCTCTTTTTATAAATGTTTTCAGGACAATATGGTGTGAATATACTGTACCAATATACAAGTAATTTTGATATTGTTGGTGTTTACTTTTTGCAATAGCATTAACTGTAGTAAACAACATTACAGCCTTTATAAAGACTTGAATCACAAATGTTAAGCTTGGGACTTGCCTGTCTTCTGCTACATTTTAAAACAGGGACTTGGTTCCACCTCTTTTGGTAGTTAGCCTGGCTCAGTCTTCGTTTGTTTTTTAATAAATATTTAATTTGCGCTGGCTGTTTTCCTTCCTTGTGGATGTTCATCTTTTCTTGCAAATTCAACTTATTTAATTTTTCCCACTTTCACTTGTGTTCCCAGTGTGAAGACATGGCTGCAGCCAGTTGTCTACCATCTGAAGATCAGTTTCTGTGCTCCATCTGTCTGGATGTGTTCACTGATCCAGTCACCACATCATGTGGACACAACTTCTGCAAAAACTGCATTAATGAACACTGGAATGTCAGTGTCCCATGGAAGTGTCCCATGTGTAAAGAGATGTTTACCACAAAACCTGAACTTCTCATCAACACTTTCATCTCTGAGATGGTTGATCAGTTCAGACAGTCAGCTCAACGGAAAACCAGCAGCTCCGAGCAACAAGAGTCCAAACCAGGAGAAGTTCCCTGTGATGTCTGCACTGGAACCAAACTGAAGGCCCTGAAGTCCTGCCTGGTGTGTCTGGCCTCCTACTGTGAGACTCACCTGGAGCCTCATCTGACAATGTCAGGCCTGAAAAGACATCAGCTGATCGACCCTGTGGAGAATCTGGAAGACAGGATGTGTACGAAGCACGATAAACCTCTGGAGCTGTTCTGTAAGACCGACCAGACATTTGTCTGCATGCTTTGCACCATTTTAGATCATAAGATGCATGACATTGTTCCTCTGAGAGACGAATATGACGAAAAGAAGGCAGAGGTGGAGAGGACAGGTGCTGAAATTCAGCAGATGATCCAGGAGAGACAAGTAAGGATACAGAAGATCAAACGGTTACTCAACCTGAGGAAGGAAAACGCAGACACAGAGATAGCAGAAGGTGTTCAAATCTTCACAATCCTGATGGAGTCTGTCGAGAGAGGCATGAACGAAGTCATTGAGAGAATTGAAGAGAAGCAGAGAACGACAGAGAAACAGGTGGAAGACTTTATCAAAGAGCTGGAACAGGAAATCTCTGAGCTGAACAAGAGAAGCATGGAGGTAGAGCAGCTCTCACTCTCTGAAGACCACCTCCATCTCCTCCAAAGCTTCCCATCCCTGAAAGTTGCTCCACCCACCAAAGACTGGACAGAAGTCAGCATCCATACAGCGTCATACAGAGGGACGGTGGTGAGAGCTGTGTCTCAGCTGGAGGAGACACTCAGTGCAAGGATTACCGAGTGTGTTACAGCTGAGCTGAAGTGGGTCCAACAATACGCCAGAAATGTGACTCTTGATCCTGACACAGCTCATCCTGAACTCAGTCTTTCTGATGATGGGAAACAAGTGAATCATCGTGATGAAAAGAAGAATCTCCCAGACAACCCAGAGAGATTTTCTAAATGTATGTGTGTCTTTGGAAAGCAGAGTATCTCTTCAGGGAGACTTTACTATGAGGTTCAAGTTACAGGGAAGACTAAATGGACTTTAGGAGTGGCCAGAGAGTCGATCACCAGGAAAGAGAACATCCAGCTGAGTCCTCAGGAGGGTTATTGGACGATATGTTTGAGAAATGAAAATGAGTACAAAGCTTTTGCTGGCCCTGATGTCTATCTCCGTCTGAAATGGAGGCCTCGGAAGGTGGGGGTGTTTGTGGATTATGACGAGGGTCTAGTTTCTTTCTATCACGTAGATGCTGCAGCTCTGATGTATTGCTTTACTGGCTGCTCCTTCACTGAGAAACTCTACCCGTACTTTGGTCCTTGTCCTAATGATGGTGGTAAAAACTCCACCCCTCTGATCATCTCTCCTATCAATGGCACTAAGTAGACAAATTATTTGATTATGCATGAAAACGATCAATGTTCAGTAAGAGAACATAATCATCTGTAATGCTTAGTGTATAATGTCTTTTTATCTGATTGATTTGCTCATTGCTTTTTGTTTTTCTCCAATGTATCCCACATACTGTTACTCACTGCTGCAAGACATACATTTCTCCATGCTGATTATTTCATCTCTGCTAACCCTGAGAGACCCACAAATGTGTCTGGAAGTGACTTGAAAAGTGTATCAGATTATATTTAGAATATTCCCACTGTATGTGAAGGTGTATCCTAAAATGATGTTTTCTTGGCTTTGCATATTTCAGACAGCATACGTTCCATATAGTTTTAATAATGTGTTAGATGTCATCTACATTTAATACTGCAAAAGCTTTTAGCAAGAGTGCCAACAAATCATGGAATGAATTTCCACAGAAGCAATGATCCATTAAAGTTCTTGAGGTTGCAAATCTACACATACAGTACTTTTAATTGTCTGATCAGTGTTCATTTAAAATCCAATTTATTTTTCTTTATTATACTATATCTTTTTAGAAAGAAATAAAATCAAATGGAAAAATCTTGAGTTGTTTTTTATGCACTTGAATTATTTATGTCAAACTCATTACAAAGCCCATTAGTATTTATGTAAAATCTCCACTTATAAATATGTCTATAGGCTTCGCTCATAATATTGAAATGACAGTGAGACACATCACCATCTCTGCAGCTCTACCAACCTTCTTGGCCTCTTTGAGCTCCTAGTTTGGGTTTTGCTGCACATTACCTGTCTGTTTCAGTGTCAAAGTTTTCATCAAATGTTATCTAATATGGCTGCTAGTGTCACTTGACAGCCCTATACTTCTACTCCACATTTCAGATGGAAATATTGTACTCCACTACTTTTATCTACTAGCTTGAGTTACCAGTTACTTTGTAAATTGATTGGATTGATAATAACTGAAGATATTTTTTAATGCAAAAACCTTTCATTGTTTCCAGATTCTCAAATGTGAAGATTTGCTGCTTTTTCTTTTAATAATGGTAATAATTGTAATGTTTCAGTAATAATCTCGAGGTTTCGGCCTGTTGGTCGGACAAAACAAACATTGTGAAGCTGTCACTTTGGGCTCTGGTTAATTTTGATGTGATTTCAAACTATTTTCACAAACAAACTAACTTGATTTAAGATGGAAATAATCAGCAGAGTGGGCCAGAATTACAATAATTAGTTGTAATTGGATATAAAATAAATCCTGATAAAATCATGATTTTTACCTAATTGTAGGCTTCATCATTTTGAATGCAGGAATTTTTACTAGCATACATCGATGGTAAACGCCCATTGCCACAAGACTACACTACCCATGATTCATATCCTCTGGTATTTCCGGGTTCGGTATTGCTGACAGCCATATTTGATTCGATTATGCTGTTCTGGCTGCGACAACCAGTTTAGCCAGTTCGTAACGAAAAAAAACGGTGTCTTTTCTTCACTACACACGGCCAGCGTTAAGGTTAATCTACGACGAAGTACCAGCTGTATTCACAGTAACAGCAGTTTATAATCTGTAGTCCAACGATGAATCCCGAATAGTAAGTACAAATTTCGATATTGACAGGTCCGGTTGAGCTGTCAGCTTAGCCGGAGAAACTAAGCTAACGTTAGCTTCTCCGGCTAAGCTAACGTTAGCTTAGCACACCGTACAAAATGAACGTCAGCTGCTTTGTCTTTCAGTGCTAAGCTAACTGCTGTGGTACCGTGTACGCACTATCGAATGACAGCGTTGATATTTATCAACTCAACGTTTGTCAGCAACTGTCTGGTCAATATAACGCCGATTAAATCAACTAAGTAGTCGTGTAGCACGTCAACAATGTTGTGTAAGCCCAGTTGTGGTAACTTTAGATGGAAGTAGCATTTAGTAGCTAGTAGGTCAGCTAACGGGAGTAGCTACGTTTACCGGACACTGTGGAGGATTTTGTAATTGACACTTAAGACACATAGTGACAGTTTGATAGTTCGGTAATCACGAAGCCAATCGATGCATCTCAACTCATCTGGTTTTAGGTTTATCGTTTAATTTCATTGTAAAGTGATTCACCCGCAAACAGGAAGTGGCTGAATTTGCTCCCCTGATGATGATGATGTGGAGTTAAGTTAGGTGACGTCATACATATGGATTAATTGGATCAGTCGTTTACTGTTTACAAACAAAAAGTCCTGCATTCAAAAAAATCGTTTAAGTATTGGCATCAAAATGCATTTTAAAGTACCGAAAGTAAAAGTTCTCATTATGCAGAGTGGCCCACTACACGTTCACATTGTACTATTATCGTCACTGCATTCATGTGTTCATCACTTTAACGTGCAGCACACTATTTTAGTCACTTTATATACTGCTGGGTAGTTTAACCTATAGTATATAGCATACCTATGTGTTTATTTTTGTTAATGATCTAAATCTACAAAGCAACTTAAGTTGTTAAGTAAATGTAGTGCAGTGAAGAGGACAATGTTTACCTCTCAGATGTAGTGGATTAGAAATATAAAGCAGCATGAAAGGCAAATACTCAAGTGAAGTAAAAGTACACCAAAATCCTACTTAAGTACAGTACTTGAGTGAATATACTTAGTTCAGTTCCACCACTGCTAAAGTTCTGCAGCTAACGAATACTTATAATATGAATAAATCCAATGTTTTTTTCGATTATGGATTAGTTGTTTACTCTGTAAAAATTCAGGATTAGTTTGACCAACCAACAGTCCAAAACCCAAATATATGCAGGTCACCTTTTACAATTACGCTGAATCTGAGAAACCTAAACGATAAACCGATGATTTATCTTCTGTCAATTTACAAATTAATTAAATTAGAATTAGCTTTATAGGCCAAGTTTGTTAACACATCAAGGAATTTGACTCCGGTGTTTGGTTGCCCTCGATGTACTTACACAGAAATAGACACACTCCTAAAAACAAGGAGAAACAACAAAGGTTAAACATAAACATTACTAACTATAGATGTAGGTGTGTGTGTGTGTATGTATGTATATATGTATGTGTATGTGTATATATGTGTGTGTGTGTGCGTGTATATGTGTGTGTGTATATGTGTGTGTGTATATATATATATATGTGTGTGTGTGTATGTATATATGTGTGTGTGTATGTATATATAAATAAATAATTCACATATCTGAGCATTAACACATTTTCTACGCACATTTTTTAACATTTAACAAAATAATACAAACTACTCAAGAACATCAATCCAATAATTAACTGTACAAATGATCAGATGAGAAAACAATATGTGTAAGAATCTGACCAAACATTCATTGACGAAGTTAATTGACTGATGAAGCACAAAAAGATTTAGTCTAACAGGCCTACTATTGTGTGATTTTGTACCTTGCATGTTTTTTGACTGTTATTCATAATTACTTTTGTAATGTCCATTTTCCTCCTCTGTCACAGTGACTATTTATTCAAGCTGCTCCTGATCGGTGATTCTGGTGTCGGAAAGTCTTGTCTCCTTCTCCGGTTTGCAGTAAGTGTTGTCCACTGTTACACAACAGGCTTTTACGTCTGTCCTTGTCAGCGCTGTGATGGCTGACGTGTGTGTGTGTATTTTATCCTAGGATGACACGTACACAGAGAGCTACATTAGTACCATCGGTGTGGACTTCAAGATCAGGACCATTGAGCTGGACGGAAAGACCATAAAACTTCAGATTGTAAGGAGGAACGTCGTGTAATGGAGCAGTAAATAGATAAGTCGGTGATAACCTTTGGAGAATGTTTGTTTGTGTCGGTTTGGACTGACGAGCTCCGCTTTGCTTTCTCAGTGGGACACGGCCGGCCAGGAACGGTTCCGCACCATCACCTCCAGTTACTACAGAGGAGCTCACGGCATTATAGTGGTTTACGATGTGACGGATCAGGTCAGTGCTTCTCCAGGACGAATATCGTTTGCTTTAATGTTGTGTCCTTTAAAAAACACTACAACGCCCAGTCGTCATCCAGTCCCAGAGTAATTCTAATGAGTATTTAATAACTTTATGGGCAATTAAGTGTCGAAGCAGCACACGAAACAAACCAGATAAAGATACAAAGAGAAAGCCAAGGAAGTAAAAACATAAGAACTACTCATAGATATATAATGTAAAGCTATACACGGTTACTTAAATTTGATCGTTAATCGTGTAAATGTAAACTTTTCTCTTGTGGACAAACGTTGGAATGAAGACATTGAGTCTAAATGACCGTAAAACATATCGTTGCCTTTTCTGCACTGACATTTCTTTTCTCAGTGTCAGCTGGCGTCGTGTGGATCAAGTTCTTATTTTTCTACCTTCCTCAGGAGTCCTTCAATAATGTCAAACAGTGGCTACAGGAGATCGACCGCTACGCCAGCGAGAACGTCAACAAGCTGCTAGTAGGCAACAAGTGTGACCTCACAACGAAGAAGGTTGTCGATTACACCACAGCTAAGGTGAGTGGACGGCGTGTGAACTCAAGTCTTTGAGGACCTTTTGTTAAAAAGGGGTTAAACTGTCAGTGTAACAGTTTCTAATGAGATAATAAATTGCTGACTGTCAGCCGTCTGTTCTTTCCTGCCACTGTGGTCTCACGATCATAGCCTTGGAATTCTGATGAGTAGAGGTTTTTATTTTGGAAAACATCAGCTTGTAAGCGACTGAGCATCCAGCTGCTGGTCAGACAGCTGTGTGGTCTGTCTAGAAGGTTAGAGCCACCTCGTATGACAGGAGCCATATTTAGGTTCTACATTTATATTTAAACAAGCATTGACTTGCTCATTGCAAAGTCATTTTGGTCCGTGTGTACTGATCCCACCCACTCCAAGCTGAGGTTAAAGGTGAACCATTTCAACTAACATTTTCTAATAACAAGAAATTTAAACATACACCAGGTCCTAAGCAAATCTTAAAGGCTCTGTCTGCCTCCTCTGCTTATAGGACTGATTTATAACTTTATAAATAAACAAAATACCTATAGAAATATGTACAGTTATCGAGATATGAAATGACCTGTATTGCGATAGTATATCTGTGGCCATATCGTCCAGCCCTGTGATGGTTACAATAGATTTCAAGAGTGACGAATAGTTGTCCGTTTATATGCTCAGTGTGTTCAAAACATGGCTGCACACACCGCTTGGTCAGTGCTTTATTAACAGACTGGTGGCGGTCCAGTGTGTATGAAAATGATGCTCAAGACATCCTGATCATTTCTTTGTTATTCACTCTTCTCATGTCTGTACGGTCAACATTACCCTGCAGCCAGTTAGCTTAGCTTAGCATAAGGACCGAGCGGGCCGACATGCATACCCGCGGGGCTCGCGGTCGGGTTCAAGTGAGCCGACTAGAAAATATCACGCGTTTCAGGCGGGCGGGTCAAAAATTGACAGAGCAGCATAAGTTATTAATAACTTACTGAAACGTGGCGTCGCAATAATCCTCCTTCTCTTCCCTTTTCTGTCTCTTTCTCAAACACACACACACGCCGCTCAAGTCCGCTTGTCTCAGTCCTGACGGTTGTGCTACAATAATGCACAACATGGTGGATTGTGGGCCGAGTTTGGGTGGTTGATGAAAGCGTATTTTTGCGGGTCAGGCGATGTGGATCGGCTTTCATAAGTCGGGCGGGTCCAGGTAATTACAAATCCTGACCCGCGCATCACTCCTGAAAACTATTCCTTTAACTCGAGGTCCACTTTGTATCCGTTGCTGGAGCTTTCAACTGTATCTCACACAGCCGTGTTTGCTTCCCATGACGGCTAAAGAAGACTGAGATTCGGTTGAAAGCTCTGGCGAAAAGAAAGCAAGTGGATCTTTCTTTTTTTTTAGTGGACAAGATTGTCTTGGGTCAGAATATTACCTGCCATTAAGCGTCTTTAACTTTAGTGTGACGTATTTATTCCTCAGTGAAACTGAATATTTGAGCAGTGCACAGTTACGAGAAGGATTTAAATCAAATCCTTCACATCTTATTGGACGGCTACAAAGTGGGCGGGCTTAGGATGTGACGATACGGAGCGACAGAGGACGTTGCAGATGAATATGGAGCTTTCAGTCTTGTCACATGACCTTCCTCAGCTGATAGTTTATTGTCATGGAATTAAATTGACTTAAATCCTCCTTTTTTCGCTCACCAGGAATTTGCCGACAACTTGGGCATCCCCTTCTTGGAGACGAGCGCCAAGAGCGCCACCAACGTGGAGCAAGCCTTCATGACCATGGCGGCCGAGATCAAGAAGAGGATGGGCCCCGGGGCCACGGCCGGATCCTCGGAGAAGTCCAACGTGAAGATCCAGAGCAAGCCAGTCAACACCTCGTCCGGAGGCTGTTGCTGAGACCTTGAAAACAGCCACGCCCCACTCCATCTCCCCCCCCCCCCCCCGAGCCCACGACCTGTCTCAATGTTACCATGCTCCACAGGGAGAGGGAGGGAGGGAGGAAGAGAGAGAGAGAGAGAGAGGGAGAGAGGGAGAGGGAGAGAGAGGGAGGGAGGGAGGGAGGGAGGGAGGGAGGGAGGAGGAAGACTTTGAGTGGACCGGTTTGTAAGTGTGTGCGCAGTTACACCAGATTCCCCACCGTAAGCCCATCCACACCCACCGAACACACTGGGCGGTTCATTTTTTTTTCTGTTCTTACTTTACCAAAACACACTCATACTGGAAAAAAAACTAAATGTACACAATTTTAACAGTGTGTGAAGTTAACCAATGTTTTGTTTTTGTTTGCCCCTGCTCTTCCTTTTGAGTTTGCTAAATGAGTCACTTTTCTAAAAAAAAAAAAAAAAAAACAGAGGAACCCCCCCACCCCACACACACACAGTTGTCTTTTATTTCGCTGTAGATAACAGCGTGACTTTGGCCCTGAATCTCCTCACATATACGAATCGGTAAGCTCTTCAAATGAAGCACATGCTTAAAACCAGCATCATGCACGTTCAGATCAGATCACATGCTCCCCTCGGGTGCATGTGAGCGAGTGGCGTCCTGCTCGACAGGAAACCGGTTACGTCGCCTGCTCCCAACTTCACAGTGTCGCCCCTTTAAAAAAAAACAAAAAAAAAAAACGATGTGCCAGTGCCTTTGTGGCAGGAGATTCACATGACATTTATGCCTTCGGTGCTCTTGTGTTGTCGGCGTGTTCCCCTCGTATGCCCACAGTCGTGACTTCTTGCTTAAAGAATCCACATTGTATGATAGCAGTCAACATTCCTGTGTGTATATATCTATATTCGGCTCTGTGTGTGCTCTGCTGGGTCTTCACGATACAATAAGCATGTGCTGCATTGGGAGACGTGACGTTCAGCCGCGTGCGTTTTCTCTGCTAATGTTCCTCAACCGACAGCACAACCGCAACAGGAGAAACGGAAAAACCACCATCCCAGCTCGAGAATAATCTATAAACTGTATATATTTATACATAAATGTAAGAAGTGATTTGCAAATTGTGTAGAGAAGCAAGCGAATGACATGATGCATAGATGGAATTAGTAATCTCGGCACGTGATTTCTGGCTGCGGACATGACATTTTTGTGGCACGATGTCGACTATTAAACAATGAAGGAGATCTTTGATAACTGCTGGGCCTCATGGTGTTGTTATTTTTTTGTCCTTGTGCTCACATTCTTCACACTTGTTGTCCAGTAAGCTGAGAGGAATGATGACCTTTGGCTTAGATTTCTGCAGCTTGACAGTTTTTCTCCAACGGAAATATGCAACAATTCATTTAGGCTCTCAAAGTTAAACTTCACCCTGAAGTTAGTAAGTCACATTTCAGTTTTAAAGTTTCTATTCTTGTTTATTAAATCAGTCAGAAGAACTGACAACATTTTCTTTGCTCGTTAAAACGACGAGAAAAAAGTTGAGGAAATTTGAATCCATACTACATAATTAATGCATACGAACAAATGCAAAGGTGCAAACATGTCCACCCACACAAAGGGACAGTCTGCACAATACGGCACAATGAAAAATCAGCAAATATAATTAAACGTGAAAGGAGCTCCACGTCCTCTCAAAGTCAAGTCAGTTCTATTTAAATGGCACAATATCATAAATGCCACATTGGTTTAGTCTAATCGTACGTGCACCTTTTTCAAGATAATAGTATTTCATAAAGCGTTAAAGGCCGTTATATTAACAGATTTAAAAAATGATGCCACAAAATACAATCATTTTCTCATTTGTCTTGAAAAAGGTTGTATTTAGCTGGATAACTTTGGTAGAGGAATAAGCCCGTTAGTGTGACAAGTAAAAGTCTAAGATCTTTTATTTATACTCGTGAGCGAATACAAGAGTTATTTTAATATTTTGTTGCAGTGTAAACTAATAACCTAACAGAGAAGTACTGGCTCTGATACCATCTAGTACAACAGCGTACTCCATAATAGTATTATACTTATATTATTTTTGATTGTATTATAGAAATACAACAAATATAATGTAATAAAACTGTATAGTATAACATGGAATATAAGATAAAATATAGAAATATAATAAGTATTTAATAATTACATAAAGCAGTATAATATATAACAAAATGAATGTTTACAGCACACAGTGGGTCTTGTATGAAAATAGACTTGGAGAGTCCTTTAGGGCTTTGAATGCACCTTCACGTTCCTGCTCTTACTTCATTACGTCATGTACTTAAACACAACAATGTGAAACACTAAATTCTTCTGGTGGCGTGAAGTGGAGTTACAGCGCGACACCAGCTGAGGGCAGCGTCTGCATACAAAGCGGTGATTCATGCAGTCAGGTGGAGTGTGTTCAGTCGTTGGTGTTGCTGTTGTCACGCGAGCTCAGGAGCTGTGGTTTTCATCCGACTGCAGAAGAAGAAGGTGTGATATGGTTGAAAGCTCTGGGAAAAGCAGAGGCGAAGAGAAGAAATCATAAAAAGTGGTGATACTACAGCGTAGAAATACTCTGTTACAAGTAAAAGTGCATTCAAGGTACGAAAGTATTAGCATCAAATTGTACTTAAAGGTTCTTTATACGATATTCAGAACCTTAATATAGCCTCAACTGACTGAGCTATGGGAATGAAGTCGCTCTCCCTTTTTGTGTGTGTGTGTGTGTGTGTGTTGTAATTTGAGCCCCTCTGTTCTTTGTACACCTTTTGCACCTATTGCACAACAAATACTTTTACTTTGGATACTTAAATACTTAGTTTTTGAATGCAGGACTTCTACTTGTAGTGGAGTATTTTCACAGTGTGGTATTAGTACTTCTACAGAAGTAAAGGATCTGAATACTTCTTCCACCGCTGGTCCCGCTTGTGTTCATAAAGAGTGTTTTCTGTGTGAAGCCGTCCTCCCTCATTAACCAGCACACTCTGATTATATTAAGCTTTAAAAAAGAAAAAGGGAGCATGAGCCCCCTACCCCCTTCTCTTGTGAGGCTGAACCCCCAGTTTGCTTTCAGCTGCAAAACAACACAGAGAGAGAGAGAGAGAGAGAGAGAGAGAGAGAGAGAGAGAGAGAGAGAGAGAGAGAGAGAGAGACAGAGAGAGAGATGTTTTGGTGTGGAGGAATGGGAGGGAGCAGTGGTGGAACGGGGGGAGGAGGATGGTTTGAGTAGCTGGGTCTGTTTGCCGGCTGAGGTTGTAGCCGGTTGCTGGGTGATGATGGGGGGTGAAGTGTGTGTGGG